ATTTCTGTTTGTTTCATTTGGAAATTGGCACCACTCCTTTCATTTATTAAACCCCGTTCCTTTTCCATTTCCTGCAATTTCTGTTTGTTTAAGTATTCCTTTTTGTTTATTTATTGGGTAAATTACAACTACCCATGAGGTATGGTCAATTTACGAAAAATTCTCTATTGTTTGGATAATTACATCAACCCGCCTTAACTATGATTTTTTCTTACACCTCCACCTTTATGATGTCAAATTCAACATAATCATCTAGATTTCGTGGAATGTGCTCTAGTTTGTACTCATTTTGTGTAAAATTACAGTTTCTGATGCATCACAATCTGATATATACAAGCTAAAAAATACATATTATCATCATCTTGCTTCAAAATGTGGAGTTGAGGGGGTAGAAAAGTGATAATATTCCATGTAATCTAGAAGATTCCACTAAATTTAATAGTTGAGGGGTAGTTGTAATTACCCAAATAAGAGAGGGATTTTCGTAATTTGACCATACATAAGGGGTTGTTGTAATTTACCCTTTATTTATTTTATTTTTTTCGTTTTAGTTTTCATTTATTTTCTTTCTATTCAAGCTCCAAAAAATGCATTTGTTTATTTTATTTTTAAATAGGCAAATTTGCATTCACCTCCCCTAAACTTTCGTCTTTTGACAAATACACGCGAAACATTTAACATTTTGACATATATATCCCTTCCATCCATTTTTCCGTTAATAGTCTGCAGTTTGAGGGGTACAGTAAGAAAATCACATATAAATTAATAAATAAAAAAAAGTTAACTTGCAAAATTAATATGTGGGCTAGAAACTGACTTTTTAATTAATTTTTCAATCTTACATCTCCTCAAACTTCTCGGCCATTATTTTTCAATATTTATGAAAAATATATGTGAATCTTAAAAAAATAATTTTTCTACTAATGGTAGAGAGAGAGAGAGAGAGAGAGAGAGAGAGAAAACGAGAAAGAGAGAGAAGGGGAGGGAGGGTTTGGGGTGGCGGGAGAAAGAGAGTAAAGAGAAAAAAAAAAAAAAAAAGAAACATGATTTTTATTAGTTATTATAAAAGTTATTTCGAGTTAAATAAAATAAAATGATTATCAATTTTTATTTTGAAATAGCCTAAAAATATTTTATTTGAGATTGTCGCTCGTATATAACTAAGTTTGGTTTGAAGGATGTCACACGCGTCACCCCTTAAATTTAAGCTAATAAATGCAAAAAATAAAATTGTGAGAATAAATGCAATTTATTACTTGTAGAATGAACAGTTCTCTATTAAATTATAATATGAGAAAACATGTATTCATCACAATAATCAATGCACTTAAAAATAAATTAATCAATGAACTCTTCTCTTTATATGTTCCATAAAGGGGCTTTATTCAAAATATCTTTATAGTAGAGTTTAATTATGCTATATTTTCAGTTTTCTGTTTCGAAAAGATGACATAATTTGATAAAAATATAATTTTAATTCATGGGTCAAATACATTTTACCATCTAAAGTATATCTTATGTAACAATTATAGGTCAAAACCTTTTTAATATGATTTATATACATCGCTTTCCCTACGAACACTATTTTGATTAATATCTTATGTTTCAAAAGATGAGTATACCTCCTAAAACATCATTTAATTTACATCATAAGTTGTAATAGATCATAGTATTTTTTTTTAATTTCCCCTTATTTTAATTAATTAATAAAAAATATTAATGGAAAAATCAAATCATATTTTAAAATTTATAATTAGTTTTATCTTGCATTTGTAACATAAACAACATTACAATTTTATTTTTATTGGATACATATATAAAATTCAAAAGTAACTAAAAATCAAATTATCAGACAAAGAAAATGGGAAACGATATATGTACAGTGTTTTTACTAATCCGAAGGAAATTTAATAAATCAATGTACATTTGGAATTGGAGTATTATTTTCTACTTAATTTCACCTTGCGTCAATGAAAATTGCCTTCTTGACACTTTGCACGCTTGGAAAAAATTTAATACCATTATTTTTATCAAATAAAACAAATTCGTACCAAATTATCTTAGATCGTAGGTCTTGTAGTGGAATTGGTAAAATCAATATTGATGTAATCAATTATGGTAATTTTATTTCTCAATATATTTAAGTTAGTGGTGCAGTGCCTGAGTTAAAAAAAAAAAAAAAAAACAATTTAGCTAATTTCATATATAAAAACAACTCCAGTAAATATTTTCACAAATTATAACAAATGAATATACTGATTTTATAATTAGTTGGAAAAAAAATATGATTTTTTTTTTTGTTTTGGGTTGAAATATTTAGTTCTCAAGCAATTTAGTAATATTACAATAGTAGACAGTAATATTATTATGTTACCCCATCAACAACTCAAATAAAACAAAAAATCCAAAAAAATAATAAAATTAATGTGGTTGGCATCAATATTATTGTTGCAATTAAGAAAATAAAATCAAATTAGAAGAGAGAATCCCTCAACATCTTTGGTAGTGTTGACGAAGTCGAACATTTACAGTTATTTTACTGTCTACGACAGTAATATAATTACGTTGACTTGTCAGCAAATCAAACAAAATAAAAAAAAAACCAAAAAAAAAATAATAATATTGTCGCTGACTCTAATTAGGGGTGGTAAACGAGCCGAGCCGGCTAGCGAACTCGACGAGCCGGCTCGACAAAGGCTCGAACTCGAGCTCGAGCTTCGGACAAACTCTCGAGCTCGAGCCAAAATTTAGTTGTTCGACAGTTAAATAACTGCTGGAGACAGTAATTTAGCAACAAATACAGTAGTATTAATTAAAATATTTTAAAAAAAAATCAATGAACAGTTAAATTACTGTCTCCGACAGTTAAATAACTGCTGGAGACAGTAATTTAGCAGTCAAGTCAGTAATATTAGTTAAAATATTTTTGAAGGAAAAAAAAAGTTAATTAACAGTTAAGTTACTGTCTCCGACAGTTAAATAACTGCTGGAGACAGTAATTTAGCAGCCAAGATAGTAATATTTATTAAAATATTTTTTTCAGAAAAAAACAAAATTATATAAAAAAAAGAAAAAGTCAGCGCTAGAGACCAACGGTCACCGGCGGCCAACGGTGGCTGACCGGCGGTCTCCGGTGGTGGCGGGTCAAAATTGAAATTAGGGTTAAAATTGGTTAATTGATGAAATTGGGCTAAATTGGGGTGTAAATCATGAAATTGGAGTTGAAGAATTGGGTTTCAATGAATTGATAGTAATTTTGATATATATAAAATGATTTTCCTTACTTGCAAATAAGTTTGAATGAACTGGATTTATTTGAAAGACAAAAAAGTTGGATTTCCCTCTTTTAATTAAGTGCCCTTGTCATAGGCCTATTTGCTATTTACCCAATTTTTAAATCAGTAGTAGTATTCTGATTAAAAGAATGACTCAATAAATTTAAAAATTTACAAGATTTATAATGTTTATTGATTACAATTCATGGATTTTTAATATATCTTACGACATAATTAGAATGAAGAAATAAAATAGGGTACGCATGAAACATTTTAGATAAGTGAAATATGATGGGAATCAAATGATAGTTATGCTAAATTTCTATAGTTTTTGGTATGTGCACAGTGCAGATAATAAAGTAAGGAGTATATATGTATTTTCTTTTTATTTCTACTCTCATGTTTGATAATTTGAAATAAGTATGCTATAATTGTAATATAACTTATATTTAACAATCAAATTATGTGTTAGTAGTTATTTTCAATATATGGTTGTACTATTAAAAAATTATAATACTTTTATTCAAATCATGTCTTAGTTATTCAAAATATACGAATTTAATAAATTAACTTTGATTAGTTTTCGCTTGAAATTTAGGGAAAATTCCACTTTTCCCCTCTGTACTTTGGTTCAGTATCACTTTACATCCTTTTACTCTCGATTGTGTCGATTTGCCCCCTGCACTTGAAAAGTTGTCCTAATGTGAGCCTCGTTGTTAGTTGTCAGACATTTGACATTAAGACTGTTTGGTCTAAACTCTAAAATAACAAAAACGTCACTCCTCCCAGTTTAAATAATTATTAAAAAAAAATAAAAAAATCGACACAACGAAAAAGCATAGTCCACGACGACAACCACAATTTATTTTTATTTTTTTAATTATTTAAACTGGGAAGAATCGTTTTTTTTTTTTAATTTTCAGACCTTAGATCAAACGGTGTTAAGGTAAAAGTTCTGAAAATTAACTTCGAGTACCACATTGAGACAATTTTTCAAATATAGATTGGAATCGATGCAATCGAGAATATAAGGGGTAAATTGATATGAAGCCACAGCCCACAGCCGAACGAGGAAAGTGAAATTTATTTGAATTTCATAAAGCAATATAATTCAAATTTGCATGACTGACACGTGGACGAAAAAATCCAACGGCCGTTGGGAAGTGTCAGGCACTACAGGCTGTCTATTGACGTTCCTCCTCCTCCGTTTGTTGGTGTGGCTTTTGTCGTTTTCTGCCAGCTCACTCACCTTTCTCTCTCCCCATAATAAAATCCCTCTCAATCTTCTCTCTCCTAAAAAAATTAAATATCACAAAAAATCCGTTAATGCTCTCCAGCCTGGCTTAGTCAAAACCCATATTTTCCCAACCGTAATACGGATACCACCCCCACCCCACCCCACCCCCAACCCACCCCGGTTTAATTAACTTCTAAAACGGTCGGTGATTTGAATTTTCTGTAATTAAAAAAAAGAAAAGAAAAGGAAATTGCTTTATTATTTCCGTAATAAAAAATATCCAGGATTTCTGTAATTTGATTTTTCTTAGGTGTCCCATCTAAGCCACCGCCGTGTCCCATGCCAGCTATACATTAGTAACTGCCCTTCCAGCCGGTCACTTTTTACCGGCTCAGCCGGTCATCCCTATCCCCTTGCTCACACATAAATAAATACCCGTCTTCTCTTCCACGCCACCTTCCCTCATTTCAAAAGGCGAGGCTCCGCCTCTCCAATTCCAAATACCTAACCTCTCTACACACACTAAAAACTGTATCTATATATATATATATATATATATATATATATATATATATATATATATTTGTTTTCCCCGAAAAATCAAAATCAGTTAATTTTGAATTTCTAGGGTTTCTGATTCTCCGATGTCGCAGAGGAACGATTCCGATCGGATCAAGGGGCCGTGGAGCCCGGAGGAGGACGAGTTGTTGCAGAGGCTGGTGGAGAAGCACGGCCCGAGGAACTGGTCCTTGATAAGCAAATCGATTCCCGGCCGCTCCGGCAAATCGTGCCGCCTGCGGTGGTGCAACCAGCTCTCGCCGCAGGTGGAGCACCGCGCGTTTTCGCCGGAGGAGGACGAGACGATTGTCCGCGCGCACGCCAAGTTCGGCAACAAGTGGGCCACCATCGCCCGGATGCTCTGCGGCCGGACCGACAACGCCATCAAAAACCACTGGAACTCCACGCTCAAGCGCAAGTGCGTTTCCATGTCGGAGGAGTTCAACAACTTCGATCCGGAGGCGCAGCCGCCGCTGAAGAGATCGGCCAGCCTCGGTCCGGCCACCTCCGCCTTCTGTTTCAACCCGGGCAGCCCGTCCGGTTCGGATATGAGCGACTCGAGCCATTCCGGCCACCTTATCTACCGACCGATTGCCAGAACCGGCGGGATCTCCCAGTCCCCGCCCGATCCAACCCGTGAACCGGTTACATCACTCAGCCTTTCACTACCCGGATCCGACCCGAATCTAAATACTATTACTGAACCGATCCATAACCCCATACCCGAACCCGACCCGAACCATGCTGTAAAACCAATGATGGTTCCACCCAAGCACCCAAATCAAATGATCTCATCTCTTCCGCCGCCGCCTCTTCAGACGTACCAGTTTTCTCCGGCGGCTCAGCCAGCAGGAGTGGTGGGCGAGAAGCAGTTTTTCAGCGCGGAGTTCTTGGCGGTGATGCAGGATATGGTGAGAAAGGAGGTGAGGAATTACATGGCGGGGGTTGAGCCTGAGCCAAATGGGTTCTGCATGCAGACAGAAGCCATTAGGAATGCTGTGGTGAAGAGAATGGGTATTAGCAAGATTGACTGATCGTTGATAATTAAAAATGAGAGAAAAAAAAATCGGTGCAGAGAGAGGTAAAAGAGAGATCTTTATCTCTTGTTTGGTTAGAGAGAGAAATAATTTTGGGATGATGGTGTACAGATGCTGAAGGTAGAGCTCGCTAAAAAAAAAAAGAAAAAAAAAAATTAGAAAATGGGAGAGAGAGAGAGAGATGCAGTTGAGAGAGGTTGTTGATTATTGAATTATGTTTTATGAACTGCAGAGGACTTAATGTGAATTAAGTAATTAATTATGTTTTGCATTATTTAATTGGAACTAATTAATAAATGGTAGCAAAAATCCTTTCTTTGGCTATAGAGTTTTTGAAATCGCAAATTTTCTATTGTCAGTTAGAAGTTTCTGGATTTCAAATTGGCATTGAAACAGAGGTTTGCTGTTTGCTCTAGTACCTTGGATCTATTTTATCATAATGGTATAGTTGACTACAATATTTAGGTTTTACTAGGGGAGTTTAGTCACTGAATCGGTATTTCGAAAATTTGTACCATTTATCGAACCGAATTATTCTGCTCGGTTCGGTTTTTTCTTGATTCATTTTTTTTTCGTTTCGGTGCCGATAAAAATTGGAAATGTATTTTCTTATTTTAAAAAAGGTAAACAATAGTATTTAAACTAATTAATCTTGAATTTTACTTTCAAATTTCTATTTTTAAAAGGGACAAGTACAGATAAATCCCAACTCAAAAACAAACATACGGGTCAGTCCCCAGTAACGTTTTACTAGCGGGTCAGTCCCTAAAGCAAACATAAACATGCAGTTCAGTCCCTGACCCCACTTTTTTTCACTTTATACACTCTATCTCCTCTCTCCTCTCTCCTCTTTCTTCTATTTCTTCTACACTCTTTCTCTCTCCTCTCTCCTCTCTCCTTTTTCTTCCATTTTTTCTCTTCTGTTTCTCTCTCCTCTTCCTTTCCTCATATTCTCTGTTACTACTTTTTGTTTTTCGACCGCGAAAAAAAATTGAAATTTCCCACAATGGCAGCAAATGGTGAATCAAACCCCATCGCCGCTCGTATTATTGGAAGTTGTCGGTACAGTGATTATCTGCACATCATTTCCATTAAGAATGATTCGACTTTAAAGGAGATCTATGAATCTATCTTAATGAAGTGGAACGATATACATCCCGACAAATTGGTGCTCCAATACTTGGCTCCCCGTGAAAGAATGTTTGTCACACTGACTTCTGACGAAGACGTGGTGAATATGGTTACATTGCATTTGGTAATGCACATGAGTGTGGTCGACATTATGGTGAGCCGCACTGATGAACTTGATGGGCGTAGAAGGAGGACCCCCAGCAACGGGTATGCAGCCATTCTGTTTTGTATGCATTTTCAATTTGTTTATGTGATCATAGCATAGAATATAATACTACATAGTATCGTGTTACTATAGTGATAGTGTAGAATAACTAAGCTCGTAGTATCATATAAGGCTACTAATAGTATGGAATGATTGTATATCAAGTATCTTATAAATTGAGTTCTCGTATGCAAGCATTCCACTCAAAGTACTTATTTCAATTGTTACAATTTATTTGTAGTCCACTGTAATAATCCAATTTGTTTCATTTATAAATTGAGTTCTCGTATGCAAGCATTCCACTCAAAGTACTTATTTCGATTGTTACAATTTATTTGTAGTCCACTGTAATAATCCAATTTGTTTCATTGTTTTTGCATTTTCCAGTGAGTCTGTTAGTTCCAACAGTCCGTTGCAAATTGAGTACAATCCGGTTGGAGATTCAATTGATGCATGGAGACATTGCATACGCGGGGAGAATCAAATTTTCAAAGATGCTAATGATTTTAGGTTTATGCTAAAAAATTACTGCATTGCTAACAATCGAACCTTTAAGTACAAGAAAAATGATCAACAAAAGATCATAGCCGTATGCATTGTTGAAAATTGCAAATGGAGGGTTTATGCATCAGTTCATAAATCAGACAAGTTATTCGGCATTCGCAAATGTATTCTTGAGCACAGTTGTGGTGATGCTACTCTTCGTACAAGGGGTCATCCCAAAGCCGATGCTACGTGGATTTCGCAACTTATGAAACAAAAATTGAGAGATGAGCCAGGTTACAAACCAATTGCTATTTTGAATGAGGTCCAAAGAAAGTACGGTGTGGAGCTTAAGTACTATACGGCGTGGAGAGGTAAGGAAAAAGCAATGTATGACATTCATGGGGATGAGTCGAGCTGTTATGATAAACTGAGACGTTATTGTCGTGCACTAAAACAGAATAACCCTGGTAGTTGTGCCGATTATGAGATTGACCCTCAAACTCAAAAGTTTCTTCGGATCTTTATTAGTTTTGGAAATTCTATTTTGGGTTTCCACCGTGGGTGTAGGCAAATGATATGTTTGGATGGGACTCATATTAAAAATAAGTACAAAGGTTGCTTACTTTCTGCTGTGTCCAAAGATCCAAATGATGAGTTATACACATTGGCCTATGCAATTGTGGATGCCGAGAATGATAGAAAATGGGAGTGGTTTTGTAATAAGCTGAAAGAGATTCTTGTTTATCACAATGGGGGTTTATTGAAAAATTACACAATTTTCTCTGATCGTCATTCGGTGCTTATTAAAGCCATTCCACTGGTATTTCCTGGTAGCAACCATGCTTATTGTTTGCGACATTTGGAGGATAACTTTAGAACAAAGGTTCTAAGATCGTATCCATTGCACAACAAAGCATATTGGGTGAGTGTTCTACATAAGGCTGCAATTGCTCCTACTCGGCAAGAGTTTGAGGAACATATATCTCATATAGTTCAATCAATGCCTCGTGCGGAATCATTTATCCGAAACTCGGATCCCAATCGTTGGGCAAATGCATACTTTTCTGGGGATAGATGGGGAATAATGAACAGTGACCAAGTTGAATGCTGGAATGGTTGGGTTAAAGATGAACGATCTTTGCCAGTTCCATCCATGATTGATATGATACGAATCAAAATAATGAAGATGATAGGTAATCGACGGGAAGATTCTTTAGTCATGGCTGGTACAGTGTGTCCAAGAGTTGAAAAGAGATTATTAATCAACTATACGGCCTCTCGCTTATTAAAATATACCAGATCCAGTGGTACGCGTTATGAGGTGTATGAAGAGGATAAGTCGTATGGTGTTGATTTAGAGACTAGGACCTGTACTTGCAAATCTTGGCAGTTGGATAAACTTCCGTGCAAACATGCATGTGCATGTATTGAGTCGAAAGGATATTCGGTATTTGAATTTGTTGATCCTTGCTTCCGGGTTGATTTGTACAAAGAAGTATACAAGTACACAATTAATCCAATTCCTTCATTTGATGAGGAATTTGATTTGTACAATGCACAAACAAATCATGGCCCGGAAGATGTATTTATTAATCCACCTGCATCGAAAGCTCAACCAGGCCGTAGAAGGACGAAAAGAATTCCATCGCAAGTCGAAACCCGTGTTACGAAGTGTGCACGGTGTGGTAAACCTGGACATAATCGCCGTACGTGCAAACAACCAGTCCCGTAGCACTCTGTTTCTACTTTCTTTTTATGTTGTTTGTACTTTGTTGACATGTACTTCGTACTATTTATCCATTTGTATGTACCATGATATGACTGTTTTAGTTACAATAGAGCGCACTGTTTTAGTTACAATAGTATTGTTGTTACGTTGATATGGTATAACGTACAACATAATATAGTTCACAGAAAAATAATAAATGAATCGATTTGAATTTTATGACCGTTACAATAATATAGCCGTTATTTTTGTCGTCAGAACTTATAAAAAACACCTAATTATGTTCATTTGCTTCTCATTCATGGCTTCTTCCAGTAGCAACTCTCAAAAGAGTAGCTTAAAATATAAAAAAGATAACTGCAAGCGTCGTGATTGTGGGAAAAAAATAATAATCATGGTTTCGGAGACAAGTTTGAATCCAGGGAGGCTATTTTATTGTTGCCCAGACCATGGCTATTCTCATTGGTGTGAGCCATTTGAAATTGGGCAAACTTTCTCCCACAACTATTCTCGATATGAAGAAAGTGAAGCTACGAGTGGATCGACGAACCAAGTTCATCGCGGAAGTAAAGTGAAGAATTCCAGAGATGAAGCTGGAGTAATTCAAAGTTTGATAGTGTTAAACCTAGTAATATTTGCAGTTTACATGATTTGTCAAACCTATGTAATGTTTCTTAACTAATCACCGTAACAATACAAGTTAAAAGTTAGTGTCGTGTATTGTAGCTCGTTAATCGTATTGTAATGTCAATGTGTAAGTACTTTGGGTACTTACAAATAAATTAACTCTATCGATGAATCAATTGTTGTTGTTCGTAAGAAATGTACTCATACAATATAGTGATAGTTATTGTTCTTCTACTGTTCTGTATATCACGTTCACAACTCACGCATAGATCGTACAATATCTACGTATTATAGTTCCCACGAGATAGTCCTTATGTACTGTACTAATGGTACCCTTGTTATAGTACCATTTGGGGTCAACACGACCATAGAAAACCATCTCATCCCTCATTTATTCATTTTGTGACTCATTTACAAGAATTGAGACAACTTGGGAGTTGATAGGTATTGAATATGGTCACTTGTGATGAAAACAATCACTTATACATAGAAGCCTTGTACATTAGTAGTGTATCTTGTAAGGAATTCGATACATTTGTTCCATTTTGGACGCCAAAGTCAAACCTAACCTGAAAAAACCTTACAACATTAATTTAAAACATATTATATGTGTTTCCCACACTTATGAATGACAAATGTATAAAAAAATATCGAGCAATTCAAGCCATCGATATTATGGTGTATTGATTGGTCTAACGACTAGTATAATCGGTGGCGTTTATATGGATGGACGGAACCGTTGTTTTGTATCCGTGTGCCAGCGATATATTACTTATGTACTTTACTAATAGTACCCTTGTTATAGTATCATTTGGGGTCAATACAACCATAGAAAACCATCTCATCCCTCATTTATTCATTTTGTGACTCATTTACAAGAATTGAAACAACTTGGGAGTTGATAGTTGTTGAATATGGTCACGTGTGATGAAAACAATCACTTATACATAGAAGCCTTGTACATTAGTAGTGTATCTTGTAAGGAATTCGATACATTCTTTCCATTTTGAACCCCAAAGTTAAAACTAACCTGAAAAAACCTTACAACCTTAATTTAAAACATATTATATGTCTTTCCCAAACTTATGGATCACAAATGTGCAAAACAAATTTGAGCAATTCAAGTCATCAACATTATGGTATTCCTC